TGATTAGGAAATGATGTCCAGGATCCCGCACTTGACCACCTAGTGAAGGCTATGTGGAAAAATTTAACATTTATCGCTCACTGTACGATAGAATTTGCAGCCGAAATCTCTGATCATTTACCAAGTCGAGTGATTTCTAACGACGAACTCGTTGGTTTTAAACTTTTGGCTGGCCACTTCTTAGGGTTATCACTATCCCACTTGGAGGTGAGTGATCTATAGTGGTAAATAAAGCCGCAAAATCAATTGCTCTGTAAGTCTTTGACATTTGATGCTGACCACATTACTTTTAATAAACTCACCTAGCTGAAGGCACTCGGTCACGCATCACACCAGATCACAAGTGGGCACACAGGCTCAAAGTCTCCTACAACTGCAAGCCGGTTTATATCAATCGCTTCTCTATATATTGATAGCCTATCAAATATATCTTTGAACATGTTCACTTCTGGCTTTTGAGTTCACTGGGTGGACACGCTGCGATTATAGAAAGTGGTACAGGTTAAGGTGTTGTCAAACTCCGAATACCTGTGGCGTCTTCACGGACTTATAATCACAGAGAGTCTAGACATCACTTCAAATGTCCCAAGGAATGTAGTCAAGGCAAGCTCAACTCTCAACTATATGCGAAGGCAACTTGATGCAATCAACCCCGAATTATTCTTAACACTATTGAAAACTTGCCTACGGAGGCACTTAGAATATCCACAGAGTTGGTGCGTCCAAGATCTTCAAAACAGGCTTTAACCTCCTAGATCGGACCCAGAGACGGGTGACCAAGTGGATAATAGGTCTAAACCACAAATCATACGAAGATGGACTCTAACATCTGGATTCGTTCTTACGGAGCTACTTTTTGCCTCTCTTATTATCTTATCCGTTTTCTTCTTATTCTTTCGATTCCATCTTCTTATACATTATCGATCAAGTAAATTGCTTATTTATTCTCGAAACAACCATCTCTCAGCACTCTAATTATCAATTCATTATTTCCACATTGCTACCAACCGGCCTCTTACATGGTAATTTGCTAGCTGTTAGAATCCAGAAGCCCCAATGCTCTGAGATCAGTGCACTCACTCAACCACAAGGTATACAAATCCACGAATAGTTAATAAACTGGCTTGAATTAATGCAGTCGATCGGTCAGAATACCACACATCGGTCATAACCAGACACCGAAATGACAAGAATCGAGCGAAAAGCTCGTGATAAACATATTGGACATTGCTTAGAGTTTTTTCTGAATTTGCAAGTTCGTGCAGCGCTCCAGGGGTATCGCGACACTTTTTTGCGCTAATTCTTCATTTCTGCTTTGTATACAACCAAATTTATAAATACATTATGAATAAATTTCAAAATCTATTTTCCGTTTTCATAATTAGGTAAAAAGGGGTTTTTTCATTTTGCGTTACACGGTATCGCGAAGTCCTTGAAAATTCATTATTCAGGTGCTGCTTTAATAGTTTTTCGGTGTTTGCATCGCAGATTAGCAATTATTTCTAGTTAGGTATACACTGATGGTAGGCAAATCTTTTATTTTTATATGGAACAGCAAGATTTAGGCATATGTCGTCATAAAAATTGTATTGTCGTCAAGGCTACCAAAACTGCGTTACAACTAACGATACCATTGTAAGATTTATCGTTTTTCCCATCTTTATCACAATTTCTGTTGATTTTCACTGTTTTGTCCGACTTTTATGGCAGAAATAGGTTTATAGTGAAAACATAAGGTGTCCTGAGTGTTGTAAATATTATGTATATGCTATAGATGATAATAACACATACCAAGATGTTAATATCACCTCCTACAGTTAGATATATTAGCCACCAGATAATTGTATTGCAGGAAATAAATCATAAACATGCGGTAGAGGTATATTTATGTGGAGATTTTACCAAAGACCAAGCTATGATAGCATTACTACCTCTTGTGTAGATCTACACAAGTATTTGGCTGTACCAAAGCATGTCATTGAGATATGCTTGTGACTTTTTTCCTTTTTTTAAATTCAGAATCCACGGGACGACTACCTCAATTCTCAATAGCCGTGCAATTGTTTTGATGTTTTACCTACATTTCAATAAATATTATTTTTCAAACAGCTTACTTTTTTTACTTACATGGGAAATTGTAGAAGTGTTAAGAATGTGTGTTTGAGTGTCAGTGAACTTTTGAATAAATGCACATTCCTTATAAATAATACATCACGTGTTTGTTCTTTTGCAGATAATTTCAGATAACAATGAATTAGCAATTGCATTGGATATGCAAAACAATCGATGCTTAAACTTCTGCTCTAGTGTTGTACAATAATACGCTTTACCTTTTAAATAAAAATTTTCAAAAAATATGCCGGTTTTCCACTGTATTGCAGATTTATTTTGGTCTGTTGTTGAAAATAAAGGCGAACATAGGAGACCTTTGGAGTTATGTCAATGGATGGAAAATAGGGAGTTCTGTGTGTATTTAGGCGAAAAGTAGACAATTCTGCGGACAGTTAGGCGAAAACTCGGTAATTTGGCGGATATTTAAACGAAAAGTGAGTAATTTTTCGACAAAACGGCGAAAAAAGGGGAAATCCACATTATTGCCCCCGGACAGGTGACATTCTGATGGGTTTCCCCTTTCGCTACCAAAGCATTTACCCTTTTATTTTCCCTTTTTGGGTTGTCTGGGGAGCTACAATTTTTTGGCTGTCGATATTATTGCAAAAATACCTAATATCAGAAATAAGTACTGATATAAAGCTGTCACGAGAAAGCACTGAAAAGTATGATTCGATAGTCAAGATATCTTGATCTAAGGTGACCAGATTGTGTGAAATCCTATGTGATGATCTTCGGAAATCAACCAAGGCCTGTCTAGCTTACGTGCTGATGCCGTAAATGACAATTACTCATAACTTACGTGGGACTAGAATAGAATGTGCATCAAGAATTGCAGGTTACACAGGACGATTCAAAGTAAATTCACACAGTAGTCTTTATATATGTTCATCGTCTAAGTTTCCGAAGTGCAACCTGTCCACAGAATTGAATAATACAATCCGTGTATGTTGTGACCCAGACTTTCCTAAGCAACGCAAGAGATAAAGGAAATAAGCGTGATTGACTATCCAAAGGAAGGGTGTGCTAAATGCACTTTCGATCTGTAATTGAATACTGGTTTCCGTTTTTATACTAGTTTCTGGTAAACATTTATACTGAAATAACTTTCCTGTCTATCTTATTTCCAGCTAGCTTCGCAAGTGTTCACAGACCTAACGGGAACAATTCGTGAGAAATAGAAGTTATTTATTAATGGATCATTTGTGCTAGATTCAAACTTTAATAAACGTTTTCATTTATAACGCACCAATCTCCTAATTAGGGCAATTCTTATCTACCGTGACAGGTCGAACTACTAGTATGGTACACCATGTTCAAGGTAGCAGTATTTGGTAAACGGTAAGTATGACTAATCACGTGTGCGCCAAACTGGTAATTATTACACAAGAACGCGAAACAACATCCCTGTCTCACAGCCACATAACACTGCACAGTACACTCCCTGCCGTTACGCTATAAGAATAAGTCAATGGCCATATAAATGAATTTATGTAAAACTAAAGAGATTACAATATTAGAACTTCTAGTTATCAAGGAGCATAGCTATGGTCTGTATTAACAATGGATTCTGACGTTGTAGCTTCATCATTAGCACCGACTGAACTCATCAATTGTGCGCATATGTCTTCCGATGATTCGAGGCATGAACGGATGAGTTTACTTGCCATAGGTTCACTAAGAGCACGGATTGAGTGGTAGTTGCTAGTGAACTTCTCTAGCAGATCATCACTCCCTGTAGAGATTGAGATGTTGTTTAGCGCACGAAGAACCAGGTCCATTATGTATTTTCTTGTCCACCGGTTGCAATGTCGAAATAAGTCTACAAAAGGAACACACTTACCTCCACGAATCAGATCTTTAGAATGTGCATACAAAATATGACCACAGGGCAGCATGTAGTCATTAAGACACTCACAAACACATCTTGCATGTGAAGTATCAACAACATACATCATACTCTTGTCGTAGCACCGGATGTATTCTCCTTCTATAAATTCGTGTCTCATTGTCCGAACATGTTTATAATTTACAGCTACAATTTTAGCTGCAAAAGATGTAAACTCATTTAGAAGAGTTCGAAATGACATTGGAACCTGGGATTAATGATACATTTAACTATATTTCTTACCTGAAGAATTAGAAAACGTTGAAGATCCTTCACAGCGTCATAAGGACGCAAACGTAGGTCAATGTCTGTTTTACTCCAAATTTTCCAGAACGTCAACAGCAGGGAATCACCTCTTCTGAGACATTCTTTTAGGTGTTTATGAGCACTTTCGACACGGTTGTTTGTGTGGTTGCCCAGGCTTAATACATGTAGCCGGTAACAGCGAGCCCACATTGACTTCCTGGCAATCCAGTAATCGTTTATGTAATCATACGCCCGTAAGAAATGCGTCATTAGATGTTCGTACTTTCGAGTAAATCTGAATATAATGCGCTATGAAAAGCGAAGCTCACATATGATGATTATTACTATCATCATCTACATCCTGAACGCAAGCATCATAATCTGACGAACTGCGTTTACGTCCATATGTACAGACATATCTCACGAAAAAGTACTTTAGAGTTGGATAATCACTGTTCTTTTTGCATACTGACGTAACGTACTTAGTATGCGTATACTAAAAAAAATTATTAACCACAGAGGTCATATTACCTTATGTACTTCTTTCAAACAGGTCTCAAAATTGTCCCAACTACTAAATCTTCGACATAAGATAATATCATTGAAGATTCGTCCTATATCATGCATCATCACGATGGCATCGTCTTCGTTACTTGAAGAATGAACGTTATCAGACACAGTGTAGCTGAACTCAATTCAAATCTAAAAATGTCTTGATTTGACCGCTTCTGAAAATTTTCATTAATTGTCGATGTGACGCACCAATCATTTTGCGACAGTTTGACCTTCAAGTGCTCGCAACCCCATCAGTAGACGATACCCTAGGAGTGTTGCCGTGCTTTTGTAGTGCTTAGTTTGGTTATGTTTATTGTTCATGGTAGTCAGGTACAACTGTAGTTCTGAATTTCGTATTGATAGTCGAATTAAAAAGACTCGCACATAGCTGGCGATTATCCAAAATCCTAAGCTTCTTTTGGACTTCGACAACCCATCAGAGTTTCCAGAGATGCCGATTGATGTCTGTTTATCTCTACCACTTATCGACAGGGTGAAAGAACTTAGTAATATTTTTGCTCGTGGAAATTTACAGGTTTGACATAATTGTGTATGTATATTTCTTAGGAGCTTCATAATTCGGTTGTTCTGGTTGTCGACAATATATTCGGTTATTCATGTGGTACAGAAGGCTGGGCTTTACATGCTGTTAACGAAGCTGATGAGCCACATTTATTTGGTTCCATTCGAGAGTTCCTCTCGCCAAACGGGAGATTTTTGGAAGTTTTGTCCAGTAGATTAACCCTTGAATTTCCGTCAATCTATCATGATTTCCCACTTTGGCTGTTATCAGTAAGCATTTATTTCTGTCTATATTCTGTTTTAGACAGATTCGCAAAACTCGGTGTGGTCAGGTGGTTGCAAACAACCACGAACACATTTGTCGTTAAGTGAGTTTGTTATCTTTTATTTGACTGTTCAGATGCATTTACTTACTATATGTTCGCTTTCATGTGTTATGCATCGTACCCTAAATGGAAACAGGTGAATATACATTTAGCCAATTAACTCCTGCAGGAACTTGCGTTATATGATTTCGAAAACAGTTTATACCGTACCTTATTTGATGATTACTTAGGCTTTTACTTATATACTGACCCAACCACAGTAAATGTAATGGCTTCTAAATTTCACATTTTAAGAGCTGGTTTGCAGTCACCTGGATACCAGAAGTAAGTAGTTATTTCTTGCAAAATTTCCAGGAATTTTTCCAATGAATTTGTTGGGGAGTATATGAATGGATCTACGGATACTTGCTTTCCCGACTTCCGCTTATTTTGGCAAACAGAGGCAGTATTACAAGTAAAATGTGCAATAAATAATTTTCGACCCTAGGCCGTTTGCGAATTTCTTCTATCATGGAGAACAACTGATTGTTCTAATGGCATTGCCGATCTACCTAAAAATACATCTGCTGTGATTCCGTCACTTTCCCCATTAAATCATGTTGAGGTTGGTTATTATCACATGTCTTGAGTAAAAACGAGGTTTATTTGATGCTTTTGATAATCTTTTAGTTAATGAATTCATGAGTTATAGGCTTGTTAAGCCCGTTTTCTTTAACTCGACTTATGACGAGTGTATGGAATAAGAAATAAAATAGCAGTGTTCCTGAGTGGATATTTAGGCAACTTAACTAACTAATATCTTTAGTAGTAATAAACTGACCCATATTGTAATAGGATTGAACGAAAAAACGGAGTTGGATTAACCCCATTTCATTGGATTCATTTGACACTGGCACAAGGACCAGTAATCATATTAGAAAAGAAATAGAACTCGCGCTATGACATCCGACAAATGCGTAATAATGGCTTGGATTTTATCAGATGGGTCCAATCTGTTTTTTACCGAAATGAGCTCAGTGCCTCGAGTATCCCTTAGTTAATCTGATAATCAATCTAATGATAAAATAGGGTTGGTAGATAATTAGAAAGTTAGAGGCATATTATAAGGATCCAAATATGGCATTCCAAGTAACCGCGCAACTGAGCGAATGCTCGTCGATGAAATTAGGTTAGCGCTTTTATCTTGTATACAGAAATTAGTGTACAGCTGTGTCGATTTAACATGACTTCTACATCACAATACTCCAATTTTCACAGGCTTGCTGACAGTCATCACATTTCGCATTGTACGATCATTTAAATTTGTAAGTAATCAAATTGTAGTTTTTGACGAGTGTTGCCTCTAAATAGTTTCATATTTCCACTGACAGTCCTCATTTGAACAGAAATCCTATAGCTCTACCAGCATTTTTATGAAACTAATTCCACTTCTGCTATGCATTGAAATAAAGTAGTTTTGTAAGTAATCGCCTTCGGAAAAGAAGTAGTGGACCACAGTGTTTGTTTTGTATCATAAATGGAAACCTTTAGATTCGTATGTGCTAGCGCGTTACTAACTCTGACCAAGTCATAGACAGGCTTCTGGATATGGAATATTCAGTAAACTGTGAGCTGAATTTCACTGTCGTAAATCTGTCAGATTTTGAGTAATCCTAAAATCCTTGTCAGCCTGTATGTAAATATATAAAAGAATATGACATAACAAGGTGCTTAAACCATCAATTATGTATAATTTTTTGGTGGTATTCTGCGTTTGTTACCATGTTTCCTAATTACAAAACAGCAAAAGTGCGATAACTCGCAATGCTATTTATAAGAAATGAAAACTAGTTACTGGATCGTCAATAACAACTGCTTCTAAACAGTCAAGTTGATTTTCTTAGTCCCTAATCGACAAACACTCATTAAGTATTATACATTAAGTACATAACTCCACATCTCCAGAGGCCAAGATTTCAGCGTAATACGCTATCATGAATTTGTTTTAATGCTTGTAATCCCGAGTGTTGATAGATAAATTATCCTGTTTCAACATTAATTAATGCTGTACACCAGTGATCCATTGTTAAATGATGTTCTGTACAGCTACAACAGTACAAACTAGATATTTTCAACTTTGAAGTAATCAAGTTCAGTTATCGATAACTAGTTGATTTAAAGACAAACTTTCTATTTGGTTTTTGAACGACACGGATTTTCAAGTTATGTTTGCAGCATGGTGTCGTTGTAGTCAGTCAGTCAGCTACAACGTAGGATCAGGCACATATATGCATCGGTCCAAGTTGCCATACCTCATTAACACAACAAGATGGACACCGGATTCATGAAAGTAGTTAATTTAGGGGTGGTGATATACAAAAGAAAGATTGCATATAAGGATATAGTACAGGAAGAAAGAATTAGTTCGTAGAAAGAAAGATATGAAGCGATTTTAATCCCTTAGTTTAAGAGAAGACAGTGAGTGTATACACCGACTCCATTGTGATCGATTCTGAGCCATGTCACCAAGAGTCTCCAACCATTGGTTACGATAGTCACGCGGACCCCAACCAAGTAATCTGCATCTATCAACATGGCTCAAACTAGGAGTTAGTGACTTCAAGCACTGATGCAACGTTTTAGTTTGGCTGCCCCTAATTCTCTTCCAACCATCTCCAACACTGGTTAGGATCGCACGTCGTGGTAATCGGTGTTCAGGCATACGTAACACGTGGCTCAACCATCATTCGATAAAGATTCACAATCTCATCAACTGATTTACCATCATTTCCTAATACCCTGCGTCTAACCTCACTATTACTTAGCCGGTGATGCCAGCAGACGCCAGCAATATTTCTAAGGCATCTGTGGTCAAATACTAGTAGCTTACGAATATCTTCTACTCTTAATGGCCATGTTTCGCTGCCGTAAATTAAAACAGAACGGACTGCCGCGCAGTATGCTCGTCCTTTTATTGATAGACGGATATCTCGCCTTCGCCATAGGTGATGTAAGTTGGCAAAAGCCAGACGAGCTTTTCGAATCCGTGCTGAGATTTCGTCAGACGCCAAACCATTAGGGCTGATCAGACTTCCAAGATAAGTGAAGTTGTCGACGTGTTCGACTACTTCACTCCCTATCCTTAGTTCAGGTGTTTACGCAGACCAGTCCTGAAGCATCAACTTGCATTTAGAGGGAGAGAAGCGCATTGCAAACAGAAGACTCTGGATTTTATCAGTGTCTTGACCAAACAGGACTATATCATCTGCGTATTATAATTCGTTAAGTGGACCTCCTGGATGGAGATCAATATCCGAGAATTCAGTAGACGAGAACGTTATTTCCATCAGTAGGTCTATGATGAAGTTGAACGAAAATGGGGAAGTGGAAATCCTTGACGGACACCACTTGAGGTTGCAAAAGCAGATGACAGTTCGCCATAAGCTCTGACTCGACTAGTAGTGTTCGAGTAAAGAACCTTTACAAGGTTTATGTACTTCTGGGGTACGCCTTTCAATGACATACACTGTTACAGAATCTCGCGGTCTACCGAGTCAAATGCTGCTTTTAAGACAGGAAAGACCATCATTGTCGGACGTGGATAAGTATGCCTGTGTTCTCGAACCTGACGAATAGTGAATATGTGGTCGATGCAGCCACGACTAGGTCTGAAGCCAGCTTAATTCTCTCATGTTTGCAGTTCACGAGTCTTAGTTAGGTATCCGATAATTATCGGGTGTCGTTGTCAGTATTGCTTTTAACTATAAGTCTCTCGACAAGCATGTTTTCTCAGTTCGGTCTCTTATATCTTTTAACCATCCTTAGATATTTGCTTCATCATCCTTTTGTAGGTTTTTGGACTAATGTGACTTTAAATATTTTTGCATTATGAACAACCTTGCTTGAGACGCAAAAATGACCCGTCATTCTGCGGTAATTCTTGGTATTTAGCTTTTTCTGTCAATAATTTCGAAACACCTATTACCATATAAGCATGACTTTCTTCGAAATGCCCTGATAGGGTCGAGAATGGAGAGAGTTAGCTCTCAATATCGAAATGCTCTCACATGGCCACACGTGTACAACCACTGCCTTCTCGCGGCGTGTTGTTGTTTACGAAATCGAGAGGATGAAAAGCGAATGTCTGGCGCTTTAACCAGGTTGGTGGATACGAAGTATCCACCTGTGGGAGTTGGAAAGCGCTGACTCCAAACCAATCGTACACATGGGCTCCATGATCTTAAGGGAACAGAAGGCGTATGAACTTACTGTTGGTGACCGACTGCCATGTGACTGCATCTCCCGACGTTGCTCTACTTCCTTATGGATTAGACCTCTCTTGGTCGAAGGCTCCGTGTGTGTCCCCCTATGGGAACCACGCGCTTCAGTTTGGGCACCGGGTAATATCATAACCCTCGCACAAATTAATAACTGTGTGGCGCATATGTATTTGGTTCCCTTTTGTACAAATGTTTATGTTCTAATAAAAAAATATAAATAAATGACTGCGAATGGTTTGGTTCAAACCAGTTTTGATAGGTGAACATCAGATGTTAATTTAGAGCTTCATCTTTAGCTTTAACAACTACTGACTGCATGATATTCAGTTAATTAGTATATAAGGCACTCTAATCTTAATAATTTCGCTTGAGGTTTATTCCAGGCAGCCACATGTAATGTGTCGTGTGTCTTGAAACCGGGTTCACATATATTTGTTACTCAGTTGTATTAGTTTTCAATAAAGCACCGGAGACGTCACATCGAGTAACTCATCTGTAAACTAGTTTTACATGCTTTATAAATGTTGGAGTGACCCAGAAAATTGCTTGCAAAAGACAAGCAAGCATCAAGAAACACTAAGGAGCGTTTCATCCAATCAGCGTTCACTTAACGTTTTAGCCAAAAATATCAAAGAAATGAAACGTCACATGACGAGGTTCTGATTATCTGATTGCTACACTGCTACTATGTTTAGTAGCATTCCAGAATCTTCTAGCAACCCAAGGACATTTAAAATATGATAAAAACCTTGTATTTTCTGTGTTAAAATAATCCTTGGGGTAGACTACTTCTCGCATACTTTGCTTCTTCTCTCTCGTGTTGAGGTCGCTGTATAGGTTACAGAATAGCTTAGGAGACGAATATAGCGTTCAATCCACAAGACTTATCAACAAACTACAACTATATTACACTGGTATCATAGGTATCTGAATGTTTTTTTGCAGAAATCATTTAGATCAGTCGCTCATCAGGTCATCGAGAATGATCACGTGTTCATTTCGCCATCGGACGCCAAATAAATTTCACAGATGTTATTCTAATTCATAATGGGTCTTCTACAAAATAGTTTTGTCGTAGTTAGTTTGCATTCCATTATTTGTGTTAGCAAACAAACGACACGTTAGCCAATTACTTGTATTTCGCATTAGTACGAGGAAAAATATTCGATAAAACAATTTTTCCGCGTTTCTAAAAATTCAATGATCATTTTCATTAAGATGTCATGCTCCCTTAAATATCCGAGGATTATTTGTTCAGTCGGACTAAACATACGTACAGTTAAAGAGTTTGGGATTAGGATCAAATAACTATCAAATGCTTTTCAGTTTTAAATGCTTCTCTGGATTTTTATCTGCGAAGTTTTCTTAGCTATCGTTTTCTGTTTTGTGCTCATAATATTTCAAAGGTTAATGTATCTCAGCATCTCGAGAAATTGATGATAAAGTCCACTCGTGACTAGTTGATAGTACTTTAAAAAAAAAGCAGATTTATTTAAATTTCCCAGTACCTAAAGCAATTTTCCAGCTTGTTCTAGGATATTTCAACTAAAAAAATTCCACTGTTTTTCCATTTAGCTATTCCGCTTTATTCATCAAGTTTTATCATCCCCAATAACTTTTAAAAAGTGAAAAGCAAAGCTGATCAATCTCCTTTTGTATTTCACAAGTTCATTTCAGATTGATAGTAGTTTAACATGCTTGTAATTTGGATTAGTTAATTTCACTACCATTTTTGTAGTATATTGTTTATCCATGCTTGTACCCATATCATTATTTTGAATTGTAACATTTTATTATAATCATTATTCTCATTTGTTATCTTCTTTTGGCTTATAAGTTCTCAACTAAACCGACTGTATGTCAACTATTTCTGGTGAGGTCTTTCCTAAAATATTTCTACTTTGCATTGTTCAATAATACAAATTCAAACTGTTTCCAAATATTGCAGCAACAGATAATATGGAACAAATTTCTCAATTATCGAAAGTAAGAATAGTCTAATTAGTAGATATAAGTAGGTTATAAATTAATTGGTTTTTAAAATTATTTTTACTTATTTATGATAATTTTCTTAACCAATGCAGTTGGTTTGTACAAACTAAGGTAGTTTATGCATTAAATGTCTTAATTTATTCCGACTAGTCTGTACAAGAAAACAAGTTAAAAGTTGAATAACAACAGAACCAGTACAACAGTTGACCCTCACATTCGAATCATATGAATTATCTTGCATCAATAAGGGTCTTTAGTTAGATGAAAAGAGAAATCTTACATATTTATCTGTTATTATAGTAATTGTTAATTTAAGGCACAAGTCACCCGCCAAAAGATTATTAACCAAGTGTATATGCAACTAAACTGAATCAACATCATTTGGTTTACGTGAAACGACCTTATATATGTCACTGTTTCAGACCTCGCCTTAAGTATTTTTGAGCGATACTTTTATTAGCACCTGAGCAGAAAGATGCCTGGTTGTTACTCCTACTAGGCCTGTAATATGGTCTGAGATCCGTAAAAAACTCCCAGAATATATATTATCATCATTATAATGATCAATACACAGTGACTGAAAGCTTGTATATAAAAAGTATGTCCACTTGTATTCCGCTAGTCACTCTCAAAGTATATTCGTATCTTGGATTCAAACTCTAATATATCAGATGTGTCTCATTAAATAGTCTAGTAGATTTTCAACTTATCCTAGACTCAAACGTATTTTTTTCCACAATTGATCACATTTTGTCCTCTACAGATATTTATACAATAATCAAGGCGTGATAGTGTCACCAGAATCATCCATACCACATCACAATATTATGAATCGATTTTCACGGTTTATTGTTTACTGTTTTCAACATTGGCCTTTTGACTTAAGTTTTGAAGTTGTGCTTGAGACGTGGCTCTCTAGTATTCAACCTTGGCGTTACGCAAGATTTCCGCAGCTACATACTGATACTCGCTTTTCATCTATACCGTGGGATGCACCCTTAAATTTAAAAATTGATAATGAGAATTATTCTGAGTGGTAAGTTTTTAACATATTACGATTTGGATGTTCATTCATTTATCACATGTTCTGTTTAATTTATGAATTGGATTACAACTTAATGTAATACTTTTAACTGCATAGGGAAACTATGTTAGACCTGTCAGGCTGATTAGTTCTGGAAATCACAATAATTTTCGAAATTACTCTGCTATCTAAACAAACATCGGAATCTCGGTGTATAAATAATTAAACTTAGGGAATAAACCTATTGTATCTATCAACCACCATAAATATTTTGTTTCGTGTTACATATCGTGTTCTTTTATGGTCTTTTTATACTAAATTCTGGTCCCTGAGCAGTTCACTTTTTTCAAAAGTATTAACCTATCTCAACTACCCTGAGTCGATGAACGGTTGTTTTATGAACCAGTTCATTGAGTGTAATATCTGGTATAGCTATTGTGAAACCATGAAAAAAATATTTAAATTCGTTACTTTCAGTATTCTTACATTATGTAAACTAGATAGCTGATAGGTTTGGTTAGAACTCCTAAAGGTGGTGTTAGTCATTAACATCTTGGAGACCTACTACCTGTTCGTGCTGTTCGTTCTGAATGGCGTGTTCCATTTACGTTCTGATGAGTACTGTGTGTCATCGCTGTTTAGTTAACCATTTGTCGACTAAATTCACAACGATCGTCGTTTGTATGTCGTTACTTTTCAGTAAGCATATTGCTGAAAAATTCTCATTATATTCAAACAATTACATGAACGAAGAATATTCTTTTCAATAATTTCTCATCAGGTTCTACAATTATATACCCTAACTAATCAGGAATAGGTCTAATGTCTGACGATTCAGGTTTTCAAATTGCGTGTCCAGTTTCTTGTATCACTGAATTTTAGATCTAATGCTAGTACTTCAGGTTTTTCTTTATTTAATTCAGTACCGGAAAAATTATGCATATACCTTTTTGGTTTAGTCGGAAATTTGTTTTAAACTGGTTGATTTTCTATTTAAAAATTAAAAACACCAAGTTTAACGAAGGGATCTCTTTTCATTCATTTGCATTTCATACCGTTACTAACTCCTTAATCTCACAAGGCTTTTTTATTTTCACACACAATCACTTGCTGTTACTATTAGCACTACGTAATCTAATGTTATAACCTTTTTATTATATCATCATGCTTATTCTTTGTTCATATGTTCAGACATATATATATATACGACTGTACTGGTTGATGGTAGATTCGGCGAAAAAACATCCCTTCGCTGAATTTCGTGTTTTTAAAGTTACTATTTAGTTTAATCGAAAAATGATTAATCAAAGAAATAGTATTTTATTTTTATAACAATAAATTGCATTTTAGATGCGGTCCTCAAATGCCCTGGTACGGTCGAGAATGGAGAAAGTCAGCTCTCAATATCGAAATGCTCTCACATGGCCACATGTGTACAGCCACTGCCTTCTCGCGCCGGGTTGTTGTTTACGAAATCGAGAGAATACAAAGCGAATGTCCGGCGCTTTAACCAGGTTGGTGGATACGAAGGATCCACCTGTGGGAGTTGGAAAACGCTGACTCCAAACCAATCGTACACATGGGTTCGATGATCTTAAGGGAACAGAAGGCGTATGAACTTACTGTTGATGACCGACTGCCATGTGACTGCATCTCCTGACGTTGCTCTACTTCCTTATGGATTAGACCTCTCTTGGTCGAAGGCTCCGTGTGTGTCCCCCTATGGGAACCACATGCTTCAGTTTGGGCACCGGGTAGTATCATAGCCCTCACACAAATTAATAACTGTGTGACACATATGCGTTTGGTGCATCCTTGTACCAATGTTTGTGTTTATATAAATAAATGAATATTTCATATGCGACCCAAGAATAGTTTCACCTAAAACTGAATTAAATTTGTTAAATCAACAAATGTATAAGTACTAAAGCATAAGCCTCCGGTTAGAGAAAATAAGTTCAGATGACTAGTTTTGTTTTTCTGGTTGCAGGTCAGATAGCAAAGATCGATTTTCCAAACGCATTAGGACCAGCATTCTAAACAGTCTTCTTTGTTATAATACCTAACATCCTCTCTCTGCAATTCAAATCTGTACTGGAGCATACTATAGAAAAATTAATACTGTTCGGTATCCAAGTGTAAATTATCATTGTATGCTTTTAACTACCTATCTGTTTTTTTCATCCTTCGGGATATCCCTAACAAATTTCAAGTCATCCGAGTATCTATTCAGTTTCAGTTATAGACTTCGCACAATGTTTACATATTTGGTATGATTAATTCACAAAAAATTGACCAACACTTAGGTTTCACCATATGAACATGAGTTAGTCATGTTTAGTATAGTAAGAAATTAATCATATTCTTGGTTGAATTTCATCTATTCAAATTACATTAATCGTTTTTCATTTTTAGGTTGACATTTGTTGCCCGTCATTACAGCCTTTATGTTGGTTTACTCTTATTATTTATGGAAAGAGTTACTAAAATTGATTTACATGTGTGTCGAAATGCTCATATGGTTTATCGTGTGACAAAAGTGTTTTCTCAGGATGGATTTAAAATGCTACTACTGAATACTGAAAGTTAGTTGTAAATGTTTATAAAAATTTATTCTGCTTTTGTTTTATTTACTTTTATCTTTGATGGTTTAAAACGATATTCATTAGGGTTGAAGTAAAGATTTACCGAAATATAGTAGACTACAATTTTCATTCATGTTTACATACAGCATTCTTTGCAGCCATCCAGCATTACACATCAGTCAGTCAGTCAGTCAGCTACAACGTAGGACCAGGCACATATATGCATCGGTCCAAGTTGCCATACCTGATTAACACAACAAGATAGACACCGGATTCATGAAAGTAGTTAATTCAGAGGTGGTAATATATAAAAGAAAGATTGCAATAAGGATATAGTACAGGAAGAAATAATTAGTTCGCATAAATAAATAAAATCCTCCACTAATTGTCAAGTAGACAAAAATGTACTTAAGCAGTAATCTTGTTCTGTTCATTGTTTACCTTAATAATGGATTGATAAATTTCTGTTGAAAAATCCCAACTGATAGATTTCAACTTTATCAGTAAGTAGGAATTTACCGCCGATGTATTTTTGAATAATCACTACTTTTTACCGTGACCTAATTGAAGTGGGAAATCTGAACTGCTGAATTCGGACTCAATGTTTTACTCTTCTCTGCGTAACTTGACGATCGAAGTTACAGCTCTGTGTGTAGTTTTTGGGTAGTGTTAGGTCTATCGAAGCGTCCAAGTTACCCAATTGAGATACGCGTAAAACCGAAATTCACAAAACAACGGTTTGTCTAAAATTGCGGTTCTTTTTTGGATAATACACAAAAATTAGATACAGACCTCAACTTGTGAGGTGTCTGTGGCGTTTAATGCGTTCTTTTGTATGAAATAAAAAGGGCTTCCTGTAACAATAACAGAAAGAATAATTACAACATACAATAATGCAAAAAGACAGCTGATAGCTGTGTCTAAACTTGGTAACAGTTTATGAACAAGCAAAACCCGAACCAAGAGCAAACAATATGGGAACCGTTGCGTTTAAACAAATGCACAAAATTGTAGATAACTGCTACAGTGATTGAGATAAAGTAATTATAATGATGAATACAATAAAGGATACAATAAAAGGATATGTAAATATTTCAGAATATTACACGACAAATTTGCGCTACAACATAAGTTTAAACATTTCTGGGAATACAACTATTTACTGAATGTAAATAAGTAGTCTAAAACAATACACATAGAATGGAAGAGAAGTGAGTAAGGATAGAATGTAAAACCGACTTAACAAGTAGAAACCTCTCAGTCATCTCAAATATAAATGAAAATCCCAACTAGTGTTTCTCCTAGTGACGTCAGTACGGGACAAAAACCACACTCGGAAACCAATTAAATTTGTTTCATTTATTCAAGTCATTACGTTTGAAATAACAAAAAGTAACATATATGATAATTGAATAAATTAAAAGAAGAAATGAACTGTTTGAAAACCAAAGATTTCGAAATATGTAATCAAGGGTCTCCAACCATCAGTCTTGACTCATATAACCGTGTTATAATAGCTTATGTAAGTCCTGTAACATCCCAACCCCGTTACCAGATAACGGTCGTTATTTATTGCGGTTATACTTAAACCGATTATTCCAAGTACAATCTTGGAAGAAAAGGAAAATGCGTTGTCTAATCTGGTGGATCCTTAACATCAACTCAACGATGAACAAATGGAACATCGTCGGAGATTGCCACTCGTGGAGAACGTGCTTGGTTTTTGATCATCATCTAGTGGGGGCACGGATTTCTGTGCGTTCTACTGGAGCTAGCAAAGTCACAACAGCAAGAGCCCCTAAATATCACTTCAAAGCTGAGAAGATCAAGGATACATTCGGGAAAGAATTAAATAAGCATTTGGATGGCTCTAAAGAGACAGTTTACTTACAACAAAACTTAGAGTTATATCCAAACACCTATAAATACAACAGTAACATCTACATACAACTTATATCAAAAGCCGAAAAGCACCAGTAAATTTCGAAAGCATACACTGAGTTGTTAGATTCTCGAAAATTCATCCTGTCATGTTCAGAAAACAATGAAGAACAACAAATCAAATTCGAACTAACAAGAAGTTTACATAATGATCATGAGTAGGGATTAGCAATGAACGGCTGCGAAAACTATTCAGACTTATTGAAGAAACGAGGTTTTAAAAAGCAACTGTTAGTAAAAGAGAGACAAATGTATTATTCACTCTCAGTCTACGGCCGGCAGCATCCTCGCCTGACAGCCAAATGCCGTATATACACTGTGCAACAATCCAATCTGCATAAATTCATGACGTTTGAACATGGTCTTTGAAACAAGTAGACAGTACAGTTTACTTTGAATATTCATAATGATTTGAAAGCGACGGAACATATAATTTGTATTAGTGAGACTCAACGCGTGCATTCTGAACAACTGACTCGTCACAACAGACAAAGCCCATGAAGCGTTGTATTCGGGTTTTTGAAGATTTAGTTATTGGGTTACACATGATATATTCAATAAATACACCAATAGATCTACTAAGGTTGTTAATTATATACATAGCTAAAAAAACAACTGATCACACAATACTGCATCGTTCTACACTTTGCGTCAGTCTAAACTTCGTTATCATTATTTAGCTACCACTTGATGACTGTTATACTTTCCTGAAAAATAGTGTGTCCAAGAAAAACGCGTCAATGTACCCTTAATTATCGGTGAGTTTCTTGTGCTTAATTTGATCATGATGGCAGATTATTCTTAAATCCCTGATGTAGAACATAGTGCCTATAGTTTATGAAGTGCCAAATGATAAGTTGTAAGATATGGCGACTGAAGAATTTGACTTATAAGAATATTCGAGGATACGCTGAAACATGGAAGGGTACTGAAAACAATGAAATCACTATTCTTTCATTATAAACAGAATGTAAGGTGATTAGATTAACTATCCTTAAAAATAGTTTAGCGAGAGATGATAAACGCTTTAGTAAGAAATGTCTTACTATAAAATGAGTAGCAATTCTTTTGAAAATGACTTACGAATACTCAAACAATACTCTTATAAGTATCTGATTTTCATTCGTTTCTATTTACACTGATAGAAATTTTGTCCGAACAACAACATCAACAAGACGGTACTTTATCCAGTGCGATAGTATCTGAATATCAAAGGGAACAAAGTGGCCTCTGGAATCCTGTAATAATTAGTACAGTTGAAAGGGTTTTAAATTGTATGATGATTGCAAAAGTAAAGTAAGTTTATAGTTTTGTCATTCTTTCGTTTCAGTTAAAGATTATTTATGTCATATTTAAGCTGAGTTCCATCATCAACTACAATCAGATATAAACTGCTGGAACTTAGAACCCTCTGGGAGGTTTTTTTAATTGAAACACACAAACATTGGTACAAGGAGTCACCAAATGTATATAAGCCACACAAATCGTTTGATTTGTGTGAGGGCTTCCCTGTCAGTGGTTGTATGCACGTGGCCATATGAGAACATTCCGATAGTGAGAACTGACTCTACCCACTCTCGGCTGTATTAGGGCATTTGAGGATGACAATAGGCATGAAATTTTTTCGTGGCCTCAGCTACCACTTCATGAGTTGTTCTGTTCTCTGTAAGTTTAGCAACTTCAAAGTTCAGTTGGCCATGTTCCTAATTTGTTAAGATTAATAGTTGGATACATCATTTCAAATTAAAATTATTTCAATGCATTTATTGTTGAAGTAAATTACAAATATATATTATTTACTTACATCTGTTACTCCTCGTATTGCATAGGTTGCTAACCAGGATTCTCCAACCAACTATATCCTAGGCACTACTTTCCATTCTCTGCTAAATACTATTCATTCTTTGGATGTATATTTCTCATTCCCGATGAAATGTTTTCTTTGATCTGGCTTTTTTTTGACTTTACGATTTCGAGTTAGGACGTGCCTCGATGCGATTTCGTGGTTTCCTTAATTTTATGTTCTACCTACCCCTAGCTTTTCTTCCTAATTTCCTCTTCATTTGGAAGCTGGTTTATTCTCTGTCACAGCAGGTTATTGTTGAGAGAGTAAAAAGCCTTGTTTGACACTGGTCTTCATTCACCATAGTGTCGAAGAAGTTTTCATAGTGTTCTTCTATCCACTCTGTTAAATGCTTTCTCACAATCAAGGAGGTTGATATATATATATAATAAAAACAAATTTTAATATTATAAATAATGATAATTTAACTATTTTGATTGATTCTATTAGTTTACAATCTGAAATAATAAAAAAGATGGACAAATTTTCATCAGATTCCGACGGATGGTTTGATAAATGTACTAAATGGTTGTGTAGTTTCCTGATATTTGATATGGATAACTCTGACGAAAATGTCAACAAATGTATATTCTATTTAACAGAAGGAATACATTCATTACGAGAATTCTTTGCTATTCAAGAAGTATGCTTTTCTTTTAAACGTGATAGTCTAACTTAATCTTTTTAAATATTTTGTGATTAATTGCATTAGCTGGTACTATTTACGACATTTCACTGAAAATAAAGTTATCATTTTGATTGCAGAGTAAAACTGGTTGGTGAATATGAATCAAAGCTGCTTCTATTTAGTGTACTCTATTGAACCCCACATTGTCAACAAACTTAACACTTTAAATGTCACTAGATTACCCCATAAGTAAGCAGATATTTAAACAAGCTCATTGATTACCCATACTCATTCCTCTTTAGCTAGTATTGGATGATAAACAATTATCAGAATGGGTTTTGTGGAGAGTTTAAGAAACTTCACAGGTTGAAATCATGAGTCAGTGTACGGTGGCGCAACTTCGTGGATTGGTTGAAGTTAGACATTAACACCATTGGATGCCGGCTCAGTGGTCTAGTGGTTAAGTGCTCGCGCGCGAAGCCAGTAGGTCCTGGGTTCGAGCCCCGCGTGGTGGGGGATCGTGGATGCGCACTGCTGAGGAGTCCCATACCAGAACGAAACGGCCGTCCAGTGGTTTCAGGTTTTCAATGGTGGTCTAGCTTCAACTGACTCATGATAAACAATTATCAAAAAGTAGTCGACAAGCTTACTGAATTATTTGAAGCTAAAATCTTGACAATCATTACCCATAATTTGAACTGTACTATAGATTAATCCCTTTCAGTACACGTGCCGGATTGTTTTCGTAACAGGCTAACGTTAGCCAAAATAATCAACTAAAGAGCACCAGACAGTTACTTTAAAGTTTGGATATATTCTTCACCTAATACAGCGACACGACACAATTCATCAGTTTATTTGGAATTCATTGATCTACATTAGGCAGCTTCTTTTTATTTGCAGTATTAATTGTCTACCAGGAACAGACTCTAAATGTGACGCTGAGTACGCAAACTGGGGTATATGGAAAGGAGTCCAAACCTGTGACCTAGCGACTGAAGGTTGAACGCTCTAACCACTGAGCAACAACTCATTCAGTCATCATTAAAGTAGAGCTTCTCACAGATGTGTATTGGTCCCATACCATATTACCACAACAAAATGGAATTAACAAGATGAGTAGTCAAACAAATCGGAAGGATATAATAGCACTGGCGACGAAAGAGATTAAACATTGACGCAAAATGTAAGAGGATGCAGTATTGTGTGATCAGTTGTTTTTTAGCTATGTATTAACTAAAAACCTTAGTAGATCTATTGGTGTATTTATTGAATATATCATGTGTAACCCAATAACTAAATCTTCAAAAACCCGAATACAACGCTTCATGGGCTTTGTCTGTTGTGACGAGTCAGTTGTTCAGAATGCTCGCGTTGAGTCTCACTAATAGAAATGGTACGTTCCGTCGCTCTCATCTTCTTATGGAAATTAAAATCAAACTATTCTTAATTTTGTGGTTTTGTAAGATTCATTTTAAATGTAAGTGAAACTATGTCATCAGTCCAACTCCCAGCATATAGTACTTAAGATACTAGAGAAATCCAGGTTAAAAAACAATCGCTTAGTTATGTATTTCTTAATTTGTGATGTTCATCAATACCAAGTAAAAATTCCATGTCTGTTCGTAGACATGAATTATTGTCTTTGATCTCGTTCTTATCCAGCGATATAAATTGATTGAATCTAATTGATATCATGAACCAGTCAATATTAGACCACCATTGGAAAGTTAGTAGCACTTAGAGGCGGTTTCGTCCTCAGCAATGCACATCCACGATTTTGAACATGGGACTAACTTCAACCACTTCTCGATATTACTTGACCATCTTCCATTATCTTCTATGAGTATCTGTCTCATACCCGACACAGTTAAACTTCACTGGTCACGGCTTCTGACTTAAATTCCGAGAATTATTTCTCGAAGCTATTCACTAGTGTTGATATGATAATTATCAATATATGGTTGTGGAAATAGTGTAATATAATTTTTATTAACATTGCTTTATCTACATTCTTAAAAGCGCTCATTATAATTTTGTTTTGAATTCCCCGTAAAATCGTTTTCCTTTTCTATAGACTTTCGAAGCTGTAAATGATATATCCTTGAAACCACCACCGAATGGTCGTATACAGTGGGATGATTTATCAGCTAGCCCGATAATTACACGACCTCACCTAAAATCTCCGCCAACCTCGTCGAAATCTCCCAGTGTTGAACGCCCTTATATAGATAATTTATCTCCAAGTGATTTTTCTTATTCATCTTGGAATATAGACACATGTTCGATGCCAAAAACATCCGTAAATAGCCAGGTTTCATCAAGATATTATACAAAGCTCACACCGTTGGATCGTTTCCAGGTGAATAGTTCCAGTTTCTATTTGGTTGTTCATTTATACTATCTTTTCTCATACCAACAAGGAATTGGGTTTTTATGCCTCTTGTGACCCAAAGATATTATGTAACGATCTATACACCAAATTTTAAAACCATATTCTTTAAAACCCTATGAAACATCGTCTTACCAGTTGTCATACAAGTAACTTGTTGATATTTACTGTAGTTACCTTATTGTACGGAATCCGAATCTCTAAAAGTATACTCAACAATACAGTTACTAAGATTTAGTTTGAATTATCCGTTGAATGATAAGTAGTAAACACAATTACTTAATTTTGTTTCATTATTAATTATTAGTTTAAATCTGTCTCGATACTTTCACAAGTTTTGAGTTTCCAGACTAAACCTAAATAGTTCTAAACACAAACTGGACATTAGTCAAAGGTACATTGAAAACTAGTATGTCTGAAACATCTTCAGACTCTCACTAGACAGTATGCCTTAATATTGTGTCTTTGGATTTCCGATGTTCATCCTTTATATATATATATATATATATATATATATATATATATATATATATATAATTCCCGAAACAGTGTGTTCTTCGACCTTCTACTTTTCCGTTTCCCTTTAGGATTCCGAGTTAGTGTTCACCCGGTGATGCAGTTTGATGATTCTCTCAATGTGTCCTATCCACTTCCAACGTCTCCTCAGCTGAAAGCTGGTTTGTCCTCTCCCACAATAGGCTGTTGCTGATGATATCCGGCCGATGAACATTCAGTATCTTACTTAGACAATTGTTAATAAATACTTGTGCCTTCTTGATGATGCTCGTAGTTCTTCATGTTTCAGCTCATACAGTAGAACTGTCTTGAAGTTGGTATTGAAGATTATGACTTTGATATTTGTTGACAGTTGTTTTGAGTTCTATATGTTCATCAACTGTAGGAATGCTGTCCTTATTTTTGCCAGTCCTCGCCTTTACCTCCAATGTGTCCACTGTATCATATGCTTCGCCTGATATGTGGAGGTCTCCATAATTCAGTCAATCACCAGACGAAAGAGGAAGGGGTAGAGTAGATAGCTTTATCTGACTCTGGTTCTTATCTGAAATGCATTTGTTAGCTGTGCTCCATGCACGGCTTTGCAGGGTAGTCCGCTGTATGAATTCCGTATGGTGTTAGTGACCTTCTCAGGTACACCATAGTGTTGAAGTATGTTCCATAATGTTCTCGTGTCCACACTGTCAAATGCTTTCTCATAATTGATGAAGTTGATTTATAGTGAAGGGTTCCATTCAACTGACAGTGATCATTTTTGTTGTGATTGGTCTGTACATGACCGATCCTTATGGAATTCAGCCTGTTGATTTCGAAGTTGGGTGTCTATTTAATCTTCCATCCAGTTGAAGAACATTCCGTTGAAAACCTTTCCTGGTACCGACAGTAGTGTGATTCCTCTGTAGTTACCAAATCCTCATTGTTATCTTAACCTTTAAATTGTGTGAACTTACTTCTCACTTTTGAATCTTTTGCCTATTATGTATAATACGATTGTTGCTGAAATGTATTCTACATCGATACTGCTGAGCTCCTTTTTTATTAGTCGTGTTCAAATAATAATATCCATTATAATTATAGTAACCACTTTACACATTTCCTTAAACATTAGCAACCTGAACTGATGCATTGACTGACATAGAATGTCAATGCAGTTATTCATTCGATCTCTTATAGTTCGTATTCTAGACATTGATTTTTCGCAACATTGAATTTGACTAGTGAATTTCATTTCATTATTGTTTGTTTCTGATTGGATGTTACCATGACTTCTTTTTAGTTAGGCTACTATCATTACATGTAATCTATGCCAGTTTACGTACAGTGAAATCCTTTTCATTAAGAATTACTGCATCCAAAACGTTACTAACCTACTTCTATAAGCAAAGTGTGGTGAACACTGTGCCTACAAAGTTTACATCAATATTTTCATTTATATTACTCGATTCATATGCCAACTAGTAATTTTTGTTCATTGAAATTTTTAGATTATAATGGGTGTAAAACGTCCATATGTTTGTCAACAATTAATAAATCGTGAATATGCATCGAACATGAATGCATCATATGAAAATCGTTACATACTTACAGTATGCAAATATTTAGAAAATAAGTTCACTGAAATGGTAAGAAAATACCTTTCGTATTTGTTGTGGGGAAGTTTCTTACGATTTTATGTATTATCTTGTGAAGAGTATAACGTTGCATAATCTATGAAAAAGAGAAGGAACAAAATGTTTTGATAGATGGTCAGTAGAATAGGAGTTATGTAAGAATTAAGAGACGAGTTGTTAGCGGAACATAGACTGGATTAAAGCGTGCTCAATGCACGATCGCCTTGGTGCACGCTGATTGGCTAATTCTTATCCAATCAGTGATAGCAAATACTTGGAGAACACTCTGGAACCTTCTCATGTAAAAAATATAAATATACTGACATTTTTCCCTATTGTGCTTCCTACTGGCATCTTACTTCCATCTAACCTTGTTATTTGGAATATAATCTCTTTCCTGTTCAACCGTGTTCTGATTTGGGGACTTGTCGAGTGAATCGGTGTCCGAGAACACTAAGCAATAGGAATAGCTGGGTCATAACCGTAAGAAAGAGATTATAACACGAGTGTTTAGAATAAGTAAAATACAAAGTTTAAAAAACAAAAATGAAGGGAGTACGAAAATGGTTTATCAATGTTCTGCTAAAAACGTCCCTGTACCGATGGCGAAAGTGGTCGTACAAACGTCTTTTGGATGCAAGGGTTAGGTCTGTGAACATAGATTGCGATGGCTTAAATGTAATATGTAATTATTACATATTGCTTAAAAAGCGATATGTAAAAGACGCACTCGTAAACCATGTGGCGAATTTGATGGAATATGGTAGATAACCTTAAAAGCTTTATTCAGTTCAACTTGATAACCTGTGTCAACCAAGTGAGCGAGCATACAACTCTTTATCACTCTTACCTTTCCTTTGCTCAGCTACGACGGATGGCCCTGGTACGGCCGAGAGTGGGGAGAGACTGCTCTCCCTCTCGAAATTCTCTCACATGGCCACGCGTATATAGCCTCTGCCAGGGAAGTCCTACTCACTGCCTTCTCGTGGCGGGGGTGTTGTTTACGAAAATGAGAGGACGAAAACTCGGGACCTTCGTTCTCGCGCTCAAACGTTTAACCTTTAGACCACTGAACCAGCATCCAAAGATGTTAATGTTTAACTTCAACCAATCCACGATATTGTGCGACTATTCTCCATCAACTTCAGTGTGTAACTGCCTCACAGTGTTGTCCATAATGACAATGGAAGCTTTGAAACTCAATAATATTTACTTGAACTAGCAATCTCATTCCTACCAGCATAATACTAAGTTAAGTTCAACCAATGACCTATCATCTACATTATATTATTAGACGAAGAGTCCATTCTACTGAGTAGGTATCTTTTAACATCAGTCCAATTCGGAGTTAATATCTGTCTGATAAGAAGTTACGGCGAGACTCTAATTTATGGACGAACCAATCACAAGCGTTTGAGAGATTTCAAGGTCATGGCACCAACTTCAGTGCTTTATGCTAAAGTACAATCGGTTCACGGGGAATTATGTACAAAAAGTGATAAACGAGCGGTTATGACAAATAAAACGGCGAGACTATCATTTGTGGAGGAATCAATTAGGTATAAGATAACAGATCTCGGATTTTGGCGCGAAAGCCTTTCACCCATTTGGCTAAATAAATTTCTGGCATTATAGCTGATGTCAGTTCGTGATGAAAATCATAACTAAGGCAAATTATGACAATTATTGCGAACTGGATAATAAAAGCACCAGTAACACTGGGTGCAGCCAGTTACAACAATATATACGGATGATTGGAGAGCGTACAGCCTCATACATAGGCTTGGTTGTGTGCATCGTGTCGTTATCCACAAGTGGCACTTTGTGTACTCAACAATCGGAGGGCTCACAAACAA